TACTACGGCTACCACCCTTACGACTACGACTACTACTACTACTACTACTACTACTTCTCCTACTACGATTACTCCGGGTACTATCGCTATTGTGATTGCGACCATGACTACTAATACTGCTATTACTACTACTACTACTACTACTACTACTACTACTACTGCTGCTGCTACGACTACTACTACTACTACTACTACTACTACTACTACGACTACTACGACTACTACGACTACTACGACTACTACGACTACTACGACTACTACTACTACTACTACTACTACTACTACTACTACTACTTTTCTACAACGATTACGACTAGTACTCGCACTACTACGGCTACTACGACGACGGCGACTTCTGCGACTCTCACTTCTATTCCCTCGATTATTCCTACGACTACTTCGTCTACTCCTACTCTGATACTTCTTCGGCTCTACTCCTACGATACTGCGTTCACGACACCGACTACTACTACTACTACTACTACTACTACTACTACTACTACTGCTACTACTGCTACTACTACTACTACTACTATTACTACTACTACTACTACTACTATGTTTACTATTCCTACTACTACTAGTATTACGACGACGACGACGGCAACGACGACTACGCCTACTACGGCATACTATTACTACGACTTTTCTTTGCTACTGCGACTCCGACTGCTATTACTACTACGCGTTCTTCTTCTTCCATTGCTATTACTACGCCAGCTACCACTACTACTACTACTACTACTAATACTACTACTACTACTACTACTACTACTACTACTACCTTTACCACGGCTACGACCACTACTACTACTACTACTACTACTACTACTACTATTGCTGCTACGTTTGTTACTACTACTACTGCTACTACTACTACGACTACTACTACTACTACTACTACTCGTACTACTACGACTACGACTACGAGCACTAGTACTCCGATGCTACTAGTAATATGTAAACGAATACGTATTATTACGTTCCCTACGGTGAGTAGTATTGCCATTACTACTATTGCGACTATTACTACTACTACTCGTACCATGGTTACTGCTACTACTACTACTACTACTACTACTACGACCTCTCGACTACTACTACTATGCCTACGACTATTATTACTTTAACGACTTATTGCGCATGCCTAAAATTATTACGACGCCCTCTTCAATTACTACGACTTCGTCCGTTATTCTGTGATTTACGACGGCGGCGACTATCTTTTCTACCAGTACGACTACGACTAACATTACTACAACTATTCCTTGTATTACGACTATTAGTATTATTATATCTCCCACCGCTACTACTACTACTACTACTACTACCACTACTGCTACTACCACTACTACTACTACCACTACTACTACTACTACTACTACTACTACTACTACTACGACTAGTGATACCATTACTACTTCTACTACTACTACCACCACTACTACTACTACTACTACTACGACTACTACTACTACTTCTACTACTACTACTACTACTACTACTACTACTACTACTACTACTACTACTACTACGACTACCACTACTACGACGACTACTGCTACTACGACTACTACTACGACTACTAGTAGTACTACTACTACGGCCTGTAAAACGGCGATTACTACGATTATTCCTACTAGTACGACCACTGTTGCTTGTATTACAATTACTACTCCTACTACGACTACGACTACTACTACTACTACTACTACTACTTCTACTACTTCTACTACTACTGCCCATACGATTATTACTGCTATTGCTACTGTGCCGCCATTGCGCATGCTACGACAGTACGGCTACGACCATTATTCTTACTACTACTACTACTACTACTACGACTACTACTACTATCACGACGACGGCTACTATTACGACTACGACGACAACGGCTACGACGACTACTACTACTACTACTACTACTACTATGGTTTCCTACTACGACCACGATTAATGGTTGCATTTTCCAAATTGCCCTTGGTACAACTACCATCATTACTACGACTATTGCTACTACGATTACGGCTTCTAGGGTTACGGTTATTATTGTTTTTATTATCGTTTTTTTTGTACTAATACGACTACTACTACGACGACTATTTTTACGATTACAATTTCTTCTACGAATATCATTATTACTACTACTAGTACTATCCATATGGTGTTTTACAACGAGTACGGCTATTAACACCACTAGTATAACGACGACGGTTGCCGCGACTACTTCGGCTACGATTGCTACTGCAACCATTATCATTATTTCTACTACTACTACTACTACTACGACTACTACTACTACTACTACTACTACTACTACGACTACCACTACTACTATTACTACGACTACTACTACGACTACTACTACTACTACTACTACTACTACTACGACTACTACTACTACTACTACTACTACTACTACGACTTCGGTCACCAATATTAGTACGACCGCCACTAGTATTATGGCTACCATTACAACGCCGCCTACGATTACCATTTCTGGTATTATCATCGTCGCGAACATCGCACCACTACTCGTGCTACTACATCAAGAACTTTTGCCACGACGACTACTACTATGCGTGTCACTACGATTACGACGTTTACTTTTATTCCGAATGCGACTACGACGACTACGGCCATTATTCTGACGATTGCTACTACTACTAGCTCTATCATACGATTGGTTTCACAACAAACTGCATCTACTATCCTTCCTGCTGTCACAGCGGCTGCTACAACTACTTCAGCAACAACAACTACTACTACTACTACTACTACTACTAATACTCCTACTACTACTACTACTACTACTACTACTACTACGACTAATACTCCTGCGACTGCAAATGTTACGGCTACTACTACGGTTACGACGGACACCCCTATTGTAAATCAGTATAATTACAACGACTATTTCTACGATTGCCACCCCTACGGCCACGGCTTTTACTAAGAATTGTATTACTACTACTATTATCACTACTACTTACAACGACTACTACTAGTACTACTACTAGTACCACGACTACTATTACTACTACTACTACTACTACTACTACTACTACTACTACTACTACTACTATTACTACTACGGCGACTACTACTACCACTACTACCACTACTACTACTACTACTACTACTACTACTACTACTACTACTACTACTCATGTTACTACAACTGCGACTGCGACTGATACTTCTACTTCTACTACTTCTACTACTACTGCTACTACGACGACTCCTGCTACTTTACTACGACTACTCCTATTACGACGACCTCTGCGACTACTACTGCTACGGCTACAACTATTTCGACACATTCTATTATTACTACTACTATTACTACTACTGCCACGGCTACTGCTACTACCATTACTACATCTACATCTACATCCACATATACTACCACGGCGAAACCTACTATTGCGTACTACTACTACTACTACTACTACTACTACTACTACTACTACTACTACTACTACTAGTACTACTAGTACTACTATGACGACGACGACGACGACGACGACGACGACGACTACTACTACTACTACTACGTCTACTACTTCTACGTCTACTACTACTACTACTGCTTACTACTACGACTACTACTTCTATTTTTACGATGATTCGTACAATTACTCTTCCACGGCTACTACCGACTGCTACTATTACTACGCATACTACTTATACGTCCAGTACTATTACTACTACTACTACTACTACTACTACTACTACTACTACTACTACTACTACTATTACTACCACCACTACTATTCATTTTAGCATGCAACGGCTGTTACAACCGATGTACCATGAGACGGGGCCTGTCGGTGGATAAGAACATGTAAAAAGACGCAATCGAACCGTGAAACATATCAGAAGATTGTAGAACATGAGACGTCGGGCGGCCTCTTGGAACTATGCTGAAGTTTTCTTGGGAAAATGGTGGTGCCGTTGGAGCCAGCTGGTTGCTGGTGTGGGTCCTCGTGAGATTATTTCGGGACCTCGTGGGGTCATGCTCGTGGCCATCGATTGGAGACTGCCGTGTTTTTGTTTTGTTTCCTTGGGTGGTCCTTCGTGGGAGCCGCAGAAGGTCTCAACAAATGTTGTGGCGTGGGGCATGTCCAGCTTTCGCCGGACGTGGCCGACGCCTGGACGACACTTGGACGAAATCTGGGCGAAAGGGTGAAGAGGGGCGTTCGACATCTGAACGAAATCGTGTCGATATCACGTTTATGATAGGACTGCGAAGGTCCACAGAAGCTCACACGAGGTCTCACGCAAGCTCTCATTCTGGAGTTTAGGGAGCCATTCTATGCCCATCCCTTTGAGTGCCCTCGGTGACTTTTTGGGCCATATAGGACCATCGTAGTGTGCACCAAATGTTGGCGGCATTGGTGGTTTCGAGCGTATTTCATCGAGGCCGATTCAATTCCGCCGATCCCGAATGGATAGATCCGAACAGTGAGTTGTTCATCCTGTCGCACAAGGGTTCGGGAGTGTGTTTGGTGTCTTGGCCATTATGATGGCAGTCTGGGTCGCTTCGGAGCTTCACATGGGATGCGCAGCGGAGTGTTGATGCCGTACCCAGCGTCCCATCGGCCAGATTGAAACGCTCGGCGCGCCATCTGGAGCGACGCGGATGCGGAGAGAAACGTTGAAAGATGCACGCGCAAGTGCCGCCGCGTGCTGTTGTCCCCTTCTGGAGGGCCCGCCTGTGAGCAGTGGCCAGAAGCGACGCGCGCGTGCAGGCTGATCAGCCCCACGTACGGTAGGTTCGTGTCGTGTCGACCGGCGGCGACCCCAGCGTGGGCGTTCAAGGTTGAACGCCGCCGGCGACCCAGAATCGATCGATGTTGAACGATTGGACGTTGCGGAGACGGCCGATCGTTCAAGGTTGAACGATCCCTGCGGTGTCAAAAACCAACGCTGGGGTCGGCACGACACGAACCCGCCGTACTCGAGGAAAGAAAGCGGGGCGGCCCTGCCAGTGGGAGGCTCTTCGGTGCAGAAGATCAACGACCTCAGCAAGAGAGCCCGCCTGGCGAAGGCGCCCGTCCCGCGGCAGACGCTCCCGCGCGCAGCCCTGCGGGCGCCCCGTCCAGGCGTCCTGCTTGCCATCGCCTGGCCGTGTGCATCTTTCTCGGCGGAACCCATCGGGGAGCATGCTCAATACTTGCGTCGGAAAAACACGCACTAAACCAACAAATGCACGGGGAATGGCCGTCCGAGCGATGGCAAGTTTGCGCACCTGCTCCGCCTGGCGCTGCGGTTGCCGCTGTCTTGTAGCCTTGGGGGACGACGCACGCGCGGATCTCCTGCTTTTGGCGGACCAAGGCCGATGCACCTCTTGGCGGCGAGCGAGGGGGGAGGTATAAGAAGGAGAAGGCCTTCTCAGAAGGCGGCGGGATTTCTCAGAAGCCCTCGCGCCTTCTGAGAAGTCTCTTGCGTCTTCGGAGAAGGCTTAGAACACTTCTCAGAAGGCCGGGGGACTTCCGAGCCTAGAAGGCCTTCTCCGTCTCACTTCCTCCCCAGGCTCGCCGCCGAATCACGGCCATCCCAGGAAGGACGAGGCTTATACCAGGAATGAATGGTAGACGACGGTGTGCTTATCCAGTGGGGGCACTCGTTTCGGGATTTTGGTCGGCGTTTATTTGTTGCCGCAGACCCCAGAAGCTATCGATTTCTTCCGTCGCCGGACAGGGGCCCGGACAGGGGCCAGTGGCAAATGACATGTTTTTTTGTTTTTTGTTTTAACACAGTTTGTCTTTGAGGTGTGTGTATATGTATATGTATATATATATAGAGAGAGAGAAAGAAACAAAGTAAAATGTTTAGGGCCGAGAACCGTTGTGGCGACCTTCCTTCCCACTGCTTCCCAGTTCCTGCTGCTGTTTCCCGTCGCTTCCGTTTGCCTCCCGCTACCTCCCAGTGCCCGCCGTAGCCTCCCCGATGCAGCTCGCCGCCTCCCGTGGGCTCCCCGTGGCAGGTGCTGGCCTCCCCGTGGCCTCCCGCGGCTGCCCTCCCGCTGCTCCTCCTGGCCTCCTCGTGCTAAGTGTTAAGTCGGGCCTGTCCCTCTACAGGGAAATATTCCAAAATAGAGCGGACAATTGTTTCAATGTTTGATCACTTCTGGATTAGTGTTTGGCTATGTTTTATTTCTCGTCAAAAAACCGCCTGTAGAGGGACATGCCCGACCTAAGCTCAGTGGGCCTTGGAAACGACGGGGCCTGTTTTTTGACAGTCCCGTTTTGTCGCCTGGTTGCCGGTTCTGACGCCATTTTTTGTTACCGGTTCCGTCGCCGTTGTTTCGACGGTTCCCGTTGCAGTTCCAATCTTGAAGCCGTTGTTGTGCCGTTGCCGTTCGCCGTTTCTGTCGCCGCTTCCATTCGCAAGAGACATGTTTTCGGAAACGGTGAAAAAAAACGGCCCTGCCGCGCCCACTAAGTCTTTTCCTTGAAGTCGGGCATGCCCCTCTACAAGAGGAGCATTCAAGACCAGTTAAGACAAATATGATGGTGACGATTATGCGTGCTCTTTTGAGCATGTGTTGATTATTTCCTTGGCTAGTATTTATGTGTCCTCCAAAATCCGCCTGCAGGACGACATGCCTGACCTGACCCCCGCCCTCTGTACCCCATGTACCCTTTTTCTCTCATGTACCATCGTGGCCCCCGTCGTGATTCCCTCCGTAGCCATTTTGGCTCAAGTCCGTAGCCCTTTCGGGTCAGGACCTGGCCTCACTGGCAAGGGGGGAGCAGCGGCCCCCACAGTGCTCCTCCTCGTCTGCCAGGCCAGACGAGGGATTTTGGCTTCTCCCGCTCTCGAGCTGCTGTGGCATGGTCCCCGCGCCCCCGCAGCCCCGCTCCCAGAGCAGACACCAGACCCGCTCCCAGAGCGGCTACAAGACGTGCTATGGCAAGAGCTCATGTGGCTATCAGTATAATCTGGTGGATTGGGCTCGCTGCTATCGTTGCAAGAAGTGGCTCCGCGACGACCCGGTTCGGGACACGGTCAAGGGGTCCCCCCGTCCTTGGTCAGGCGAGCAGCAGTCCAAGGATGCATGGCAACAGGTGGAGTCCACGCGCCGCAAGGCCAAGTCGGGCCCAGGCACGAGTGCTGACCAATCCCAGTCTGGGAGTGGGAAGGGCGGCTCGGCCCAGCAGCGCAGTGGCAAAGGCTCGGACACAGGTGGCAAGCAGACGCAGCGCGACTACCTCGCGGCGGCAGTGGAGCAGCTCACGCTTGCTGGGCTGGCTGACGACCACCCGCTCATGGTGGCCGCCAAGGCTCAGGTGCCCTCCGCTGCTGCTGCCCAACCTGACGAACGTGGCCCACCGCCATGGATGCGAGTTCGGTCCCATCAGGACAAGCTGGCCCACTTCCAGGGCCAGCTTACTGCGTCGAAGGCGACGGAGGCCAACCTCCGTCAACAGATCACGGAGCTGGAGCAGGACCTGGAGGACTGCGTTGCATCCCAGGCGGCTCTGGCGGAATCGGTCAAGAAGGAAGAGGAGGAGCTCCAGAGGCTCCATCGACGTGCTGCTCTTCACCCTGCTGGCGATGACTGCAAGGCGGCGGTCAACGGGCTGGTGGAGACGCTGTTCGGCCATCTGCCCGAGTCGTTCAGAGTGGCGAAGGCGGACCAGCTCCGCACCGCGGTGGACCTCCTGGGCGACCTGGCTGCTGCTGGGGCCTCTTTCCAGGAGCAGGAGGAAGCACGGCGGAGGGCACAGGCCGAGGAGGCCGCGCGGCGTGCCATGTCGGGCAGCGGCCCTTCGCCAGCCCCAGTGGCACCCTCGGACTCACGCGTGGCGGAGGATTGCAAGCAGCAGCTTACTGAATTGCTGGAGGGCGGACAGGCAGGGCAGTACGAAGGTCTCTACAGGACCATGCTCGAGTTCCTGCAGAACCCTTCAGCCCTCAGCAAGAGGCCCAGGAGGGACGCGCCAGGCCCAGAGGCTGCGGCGGCGGCGGCCCCCTCGGCCGCGCCTGGGCCTGCGGCTGCTGATGTTCCTGCTGATGTTCCTATGCCTGCTGACCGCGATGTCGCAGGAGCCCCACCCCCGTCGGGGTAGCGGGGTCGTCGATGCAGCGGGACACCGCTTGCCTGCGCCCGCCTCGCTCGATGCAGCGGGACACCGCTTGCTTGCGCCCGCCTCGCACCGAGGCAGGTGGCGCACTCTGGCGGCGCGGGGTGGGGCTAATGGGGCTGCTGGATCCGATGCTCAGGTTCCTGGGCCAGCAGACCCGCGGGCGCCGCCTCCTGATGCTGGGTCGGGCTCGAAGGTCTTGGAGCCTTCTGCCCGTGTCGCTCGGCGGCCTGAGGCGGCCCGTCGGCCTGATGTATGGAAGCTGTGTACGGCCAACATCACCTCTTGGGGCATCGAGTGCGGGGACAAGGGTAAGGTCACGCGACGGCCCTTCCTGGAGCTCTGCGACTCTGTGGATGCCGACATCTACGTTTTCCAAGAGCACCACCAGACGGAGCTACGTTTGGTGGACGTTCAGCAGGCGCTGGTCAAGGCTGGTATGGTCTCGCTCCTCGCTCCGGCTGCCCCCTCAGGTCGTTCAGAGGCTGGCACCACTGGAGGAGTTGGCATTGCGACTTCGAAGCTCTGGGGCCTCAAAGGACTCGATGATTTGCCTGAGGGTATCGCGGTTCCTCCTGGATGTCGATTTCGTCTGGGGCTCTGGAGTGGGTTATGTACTGGAGGTGTTTTAGTCGGATCGGTCTACCTGCACACTGGAATCGGTTGCCGCGGTCAAAATCTTTCCCTGCTACATAGCATTGGGGAGGTCCTGAGGGCGTATGGCATGCCGTTTATTCTGGGTGGAGATTTTCAGTTTTCAGCGGATCAACTGGTCGAGTCTGGTTGGATTGGGGATCTTCAGGCTGAGGTGGTCTCTGACGTCTCGAATTGGACCTGTCAGTTGGGTACCTCTCGGTCGTCCATCGATTACTTTGTCCTCTCCTCCTCGCTCAAGCAGTTTGTGGTGAGCTGCTCAGTTGCGACATGGTCTACCTGTACCAGACCGCACCGCCCTGTGGTGTTGAGCATGTCTGGCCACCCGCGACAGGTGACAGTTCCCAGACTCAAGAAGCCGTCGGCGCTCCCTCTCCACCGCCCTGTTGGGTGCGACCCTCGCCCCCTGGAGTGGGATGACTTGCTTGATCAGCTTACCCAGGGGGATTGTACCAAGGACCGTTTGGATGCTGTCACTTCTCTGTGGGTTCAAAGAGCTGAGGTGGCGCTATCTCGTGTATTTCATGTTGATGGGGATCCACGGTACCGAGGCCGAGGAGGCCCCCCCAAGGTGGTGCAAGTCCCTTTGCTCGGCCCCCCAGCCTCCACTCATCCCAGGGCTATTGGGGAGGGCCGTATGTGGCGTGTCTTGGAAAGGCGACTCCAGGACATCGTATATCTCTGGCATGGGCCTGCGCCCACCTTGGGGGGGATAAAACAAGCGGGGAGCCTCTTGCGGAAGCTCGTGCACTACCAGTCCCCCTACACCGATTGCAAGCATTGGGCTTCTTGGAGAGTTCGGGTTCTGGCCGTCAACCCTGCCAGCGTCTCGGAGCTCCAGGAGTTGATCTGGCAGGTCCGCAAGTGGGCCCTTCAGCACGAGCATCATGCGGCCTCTGAGCGGGCCCGAGCCTGGCGTGAGTGGGTTCAAGATGCTTTATCTGGGAGCGCTCGGCTGGGCCACCGGTTCACCAAAGAGGTTCCCAAGTGGGCTGCATCTGGGCTCTCTTGTTTCTCGGGGCCGTCTGGTGAACCTCTGGGGATTGCTGCTGAAGCCGATCATCGGGCTCAAAAGTGGCATCAGCATTGGGGTGTCGGCCAAGCTTTCCCAGAGCCTGATTTTGACTGGTGCGATGACGAGCCAGAGCTGGAGGCCCCCACCCATGAGGAGCTCTTAGCCCTTACCAGGACCTACAGCACGCACACGGCCATTGGAGTCTGTGGCCTGCATCCCCGTCATTGGTCCTTCCTTGACGACGGCGCTGTCGCGGTCTTCCTACGGATCTGGGTCGAGATGCAGCGCCTGGTT